AACTGATTGATAACTCAAAAGCCAAGATGAAACTCGCCTCAGTTTTGTCCCAATTGTAGATTTGATAAACCAGAGCAAAAGATTGGTGAACGATGAGATGTTTTTGATAGTCATGCTTTTCTCGAAACATATCGCCGCAAATAAAGCATAAATGGTGTTGCAGATCAGCAGCGGTCTTGCGCTCATTGTTCCTAAAAGCCCCAAAATAGGAAATCTTTCCAACCAGGATAGAAAAAAAATGTCAGATCACTCTATCTTAAGTATAACAAAAGGCAATTCGTGGAGAAAAAATATGGGTAGAATGCGGTAAGATGGAAGAAAAGAAATTGCGGAAAAACTTGCCTAAGGTACATCCCCATGCTGATTATGCTCTTTGTAGACTGTATCAAATCACTTAACACTAAAAATTGGAAGATATGTGCTTAAGACGTTATAGAGTGGAAAAAAGGTATATAGTATAATGTAACGAACAAACGTCATACGTACTAAGAGGAGTTGTTGAAAGAATTTATGGCTATATAAAAACAATGACAAAATAACAACAATAACAAAATGCATACAACTACATCCAATAATTTAGAACTAAACCTATGCTGCAGCCTAATTCAGTATAATTTTCCTATCAATAACTAGCAACGGCTATAATGAAGACATTATCTACTGACCTATCTATTTAAATATACAAACATGTCAAGGGTTATCGCGGTATTGAAAGACTTCTCATTCAGCTGAGCAATAAAACAGGCGTTTATTCCTACCTTAAGCTGGAGAAAAAGGTAAATGTCCTATCTTATCTAACAAGTGACTTTATCAAATAGCTCCGCCAAATCGAGCCTCCGGCGGTTTGACAGTAGCTCGTTCATATTCAAGTCGCTCTTGTTCTCGTTGAAGTGAGCGTATTCGATTCGAAAGTTCTAGGCGATATTCAGCCTTGTCACCATATTGACAGAATAAGTCGAAGTCAGGCGAAATCTTCCGCTTTATGTCATAGATGATATCATAAGTGGGGAAGGCGAATTCTCTGCAAAAAAAGGAAAAATAGGGCTCAAGAGCTCAGTTAGGCGTCAAAGATATTGATTTTAAAGAGAAAGTTAATAAGGCATACTAAAGGATTGCACTTTGTTCCTCGACATAGAAAAAAGTAAAAACTTGTTAGACAGAAAAGTCAAGTAAGCAAATAGTAAAAAGCTAAACACTAGATTTTTAGAAAAACCCACGCGATAACTATTGCATATGCGATATGGAATAAGAAGCTAGCTCCAGTAATCCTCCAATAATCCCGAAAAGCTTCTCTTTTATTTTTGAATAAAATTCTATCGCGATTTGGCAGAAATTTCCAAGACGACAATAGACGGAAGCATTGCCGCATTCCACTAATCAGCTATTGGAGCTACACCTCTGTT